TGAACTGAAGCTGCATCAGAGAAACTAAAAGTGACTGCAGGTGATAAACTATTACTCACGATGTATGGCTTGTGGTGCACCTCCCTGCATGAGGATGCCACCAGGAGACAGTGCGGCAATGGCAGAACTAGCTGCTGTGCTGGACATCACCTAAACAAAGCAAGATTATAATTTACTAGTTGTCATTTCTGTTCTCATTAATGACAATATGTCTTATTTTTTATAAACTTGATTTAACCCACCTGAGTTAGGTTGGGTTTGTAATTGGACATCTCATGATGGATGTAGTTGACAGAGTTGATGATGTCCTGGCTTGTTGTGTACTGGTGGGACTGAAGTGGCACAGGTCCATGAGCATACCTGGTAAATAATGACACCTTATTATAGAAATGTTTAAAAAAACTGAACTAGAACAGCAGGTGAACTAAATGTACCTGTCAGACTTCTTGAGGTTAAGTGGAACTGTTTTTGGTCTGTTTTCCCCTTGGAGATCATCATATTCTGTTGCTTCTTGTAATTTAGCCTTGGAAAAAAAGGATCAGTTTAACAAATTATTTATCTCATTGTGAAAAGTTTCTGTGCAGATGCAGAGGGAAAGTTACCTTTTTTACAGGAGGATGAAAACAGTCTGAATCTCTAGAGTTTCCATCCGTGCTGCTCGTCTCACTGCCTTGATCATTTAACGTTTCTCTGTTAAAACATGTCAACAATTTCAAAATTAAATCAATTCCAAGCAGGTAAGAAGAGTGTTTACAAACACTTTAAAATGTCAAAAAAGTTAGGAGGTGGTGCAATGTATTCTCTGTACCCTTTGCGTGAGCCTGCTGCCAGCACCATAGCACTGTGATGATTGAAGCGCTTTATAATGGCAGAGTTGCTGCTCTCTTTCACAGTCCGGTTCGCGACGGAGGTCGAAGGTTGTGGTGAACAAACTCCATATCCCTGTTTTTCAGCAAAAATTCAAGATCTGAGTTGAAAGAGGGATAATAATATGAAAACCATAATTCTGGCTGATTGTCCACCAATTGTTACCTCATCTAAGGTGTTGTCATCCAATGCCAGGAGGTTAAGTAAAGGATTCTTCACCCCTTGAATCACCATCGACTTTAACCCTGCATTGGACAGATAAGTGTGCAACAGTGTACTTTGCTGACAGGAAGGTGCACATGTGCTGACATCATACCAAAAAAACCACACACCCTTTTCATCCTGTTTGGCACACTCTGAGAATATGTCCTGTGTTCCTGTGTTGAGGCGGTCTCTGTGAAAATAATGGGACTGGAAAAAACGTGTCCAGAACTCCTTCTCTGTCAGGTTGTGAGGCACATTTTCACAATATTTCTGCTTCACTGCAAATACAATGAAAACATATTTGTAAAATGTGTTCCTGTTTTTATGACAGGCACAAACAACACTGTTTCTGCCTCTAAGTCGGACGACCATTTTCGTGCAAATGCGACTAGTGAAAGCTTGGTAAAATCAACCATCACAACTAAAGCCAAAGTGAAGATGAAGTTTACCTGCAGGATATGTCCTGAAGATGGATTCAATAATATCCGCTGTCAGATTATATCTTAATCCATTGCAGCCATCTGTCTGAGGTCTAATATCTGCCTGCAGGGCACAAATAAAAGCTGGTTAAATTTACTTGTTTATCAAGAAATTAACTCAACCAGCTGTTGTTGTAAATTAAAATAGCCTGAAGTATTAATATAAGGCATAAAGGTTTGACCATGTTTAGAAGAACTACTCACCAGGAAAGCTCCAGAGATACCAACTTCTTGCTTGTTGTTGTTATATAGTGCCTGGTCTGTGTTGTTTACACCTCCTAACCTGTTGGCCCAGAATTCCTCAGCACTGATCACCTGGCTGACTACAAGATCTTTATATAACTGGAACAGCACTGGATCCTCTTGAAGCATCCTAGAGAAAAAGAACAGAGAAGATTTAAGATGAAATATAAACAAGCATTATAATATCATTTTGAATGTAGGACTGTACTCAAATCCATTACTAAAAAGACAATAAAACCTTCTTCCACAAAGTCAACCCTAGTAAGAATTAGAGAATTGATTTTGTCTGTTGTGGTGTTTGTTGATATTGAGTATTAAGTATGACTATTAGTAAAGCAATTCACTCACCTGTTTTTTTCTTCCAACTCCTTGTTGGCTTTCTTCTTAAACTTGGGCAGTAGCTGCTGCAACAGCTCTTTGGCAGCATCTCGGTCTTTGACTGCAGTGCTTTCATTGGCAAAGTGGAATGTGATATTTTCTCCAGTATGTAGGACCAGCTGGAGCTGAACTTTGGCTTTACCATCTGGGCTGATCTTCTGACCTGTCCAGGGAATGAATAGATTCAGCAAAGGCACTATAATGCATAAACTAAGAAATTATATTACAATCTGAACTTAACAATCATTACGATCACTGAACAGTCTATTATACAATTATAGTAAAGTCCTTATACATACAGCGAATATCTGCATAGAGATGGCTGACTGTAAATCGGTCCTTTCCCTCTGGACCCCAGGCTATGCGTTCAGCCATTAGATAAAGTGTTCCATCCTGCTTCTTCTGGCGAACCTTCTTCACCACCAGCAGTACCTCCTCTGACAGTGATGCCATCACCCACAGAAAACTGGGAGAATTTATAACATGTTTTTGATTATCATCATTAAACCATGAACGTCATACTGGTACACAGATTAAAGGATTGCTAGAGCAGGATTATTTATTTAAGTCTCTACACGTTCCACTAAAGCTATGTAACAAATCTTTGGGCAGTATTAGGTCGTATGACCGTGTTATAAACAATAGCAATGATTTGGTTTTCTCTATATGTGTTAGTGTAACCTGGACACAATAAGACCGTTGTTTTATTTCCGGATTTGATATAGAACTCCGCTAACCAGTTAGCTGTGGTTAACATACAAAAGATAATGCCTGATGAAGAATTGGGCAAAAAAACTACTTTACCTGAAATTAAAACAACGCAGCAGCGAAACAACCCTCCTTTCATAAATACATAGTCCTCAAATAACGTATAGGTAACTGTAAGTATGACAGAATTATTTATTTCAAACAGAATTTGAATTCCCGAACACAAAACGCCCTGACATCGGCGACTGCCGAGTTGGGTGTCACACTCAAATCGGTCCGGTGCGGCAGAGCTGTGAAGACTGAGGTTCCAGTCTTCTATTTATTGTTTAACACAGGTTAAAACACAACTTTACCGCCACATTACGCCGGGGTTGAGAGGTCGAACTACAGGAAACACACCTTTCGCGGTAATATCGCCTCCTGCTTTTGTATTTTGTTTTGCTTAACTTAAAAATTGTATTAAATATATTTTAGTCTTTAAAACAGACGTTGCAATGTTACCAGTCTTTGCTGAATATTTTTCTTATTTCCTTGGATACTGGTACAAGCTAACAAGCTAAATAACTGTTTTAGTATTTAATATTTAATATTTTAAAAAGTAATTATTCGGGATTTGTGAAAGAAATGGCGAGAGGATGTGCTTTAACCCACCACTCTGAGCACCCAGTCATTCCTCATGCATCCTAGAGGGGGAGATCATTTCACCTAGATGAAAAGTGACTGAGCACAAGAAGAAGTGGAAACGCCGTTGAAACGTTCTGGGACTGTCTTTAGCCCAGTTTTTTAAACTGCATGGACAGTAGTCTTTATTTAACATTTATAGTCCATGTATTGATCATTAACTATAATTTTTAAACTGCATGGACAGTAGTCTTTGAAAATAAACATTTATATTCCATGTATTGATCATTAACTATAGTTGAAGACACTCGGACACTCATGGGTGAGTAGGAAATGTCTCAAATCGTTGATGTTTGGCCACTTCTAGATGCAATAGCTTATTTGGTTTTTGTTGTTGGCAACTCTTGCTTTATTTAATAACTTTACAGCGTAACCTCTGTTTTTTTCTACACATTACTTGTTAATTGAGAATAAAGAATTGACTGCGTATCACCCAAAAACACAACGTGAACTGCATTCATACTTTATTATATTTGGACCAAAATAAAGGTTTATTTCTCGGTTGTTAAGCAATCATGAAAATTTTCAATGGAATCTTAAACGCCAATGTTTTGTTCAGATTCCAGTGCAGATGATCCAGAGGAGTGCCAGAGGTCTTCATCTCCAACTGCAGACTCCCCTGTAATGTACCGTAACCCATCACCACCTCCAGAGACAACTGATGGAGAAGAAAAAGAAAATACAGATGCAATTGGAGAGACAGTCTACAGCAAACACTGGCTGTTCAGCACCTTAACTCGTCTCATCCAGGTAAGCTGCTGCAGTATAAACAAGCTTTAAAATGGAACAGTGGGATTTGAGATGTAGAAAATATTAGATGTAGAACACACACATATCAAACTATTTTAAAGGTTGTTTTAGCTTTGTTTTGGTCGTGAAGTTAAGTTGATGTCAAACTTCTAGCTATGTCTTTCTGTCAGTTTTCAGTCTTTTAAAATTCACATGTTTATGTGTCTGTCATGCAGATGGTCACTGAACATTCAGAAGAGGATTCTGAAAATCAAATGCAGCTCAGCGATAGTGACGAAGAAGCTCTATGCATAGTCTGGGATATGGCTATGGATAAGGTTCAAATTTAGACCTCTTTTTGTTTCATTTTGAATTTTGTTTGGCACTTAAAACTTAAGAACTTCTGTTTTTATTTATTTATTTATTGGTAGAAGTAACTGGGTAAACAGCAAATAAGTGAAATTCAACATATTTTCACGATGGTTTTCAGGACGTTGCTGGTTTACTGCAGGAATTCAAAGCTACTGATATCCTTCTGGGTGTGATATCCAAATCTCGATGTCCACGTCTCACAGTGAGTGAATATCTCTCCTGTTTATAAAATATAATCCAGCTTCATAATTTGATATTGACTGGAAGTTGAAAAAATGTTTTTGTTTCTCTGTGCCTTTTAGGAAATTTGTGTGGGAATCCTAGGAAACATTGCATGTTTTCCCGAATCTTGTCTAAGTCTCAGTCAAAATGAAGACTTAGGGTGAGTTAACATCTGTGACATGTTGTAACACATCTTTTGTCATATCTGTTTCTACTTGCTCAGTCATACACACCACAGCAATGATTTTTTTTTCTTACTATGTTTTTATATTTTTTTCATTTTTATTTAGTATTATATAATATAGACATTATTACTGTTTATATTTTGGTTGTATTTTAATTACTTCTCCAAATGCTTCCTTTATATTTGACTTTTTTGTGGACATAAAAAAATATATATTAATGTACATATAACGATAAACTCATCTGATGTATTTCTTTTTCTGTCCACAGGGCTGTGCTGTTGCTCCTACTAGGAGACACAGATCCTCCAACCCTTTTGGAAACAAACAGGTAACGTTTGTTTTCCCCGTGGGCATGTGGGCCTTTGTGATGTGGAAGAAAACATAACTTTTTCTTTCGTTTGTAGATTGCTGCTCACGTGTCTCTCTCAGAAAGATGTTTCTGTCCTCTGGCTTGATCGGATAAAACAGCAGAAGTCTGTGAAACAACACCTGTGTTTCATCATGAGCAGCTCTACTAACAGTACAGTACTTAGTTTTTCCTCTTCATATAGAGCTGTATAATTTTTATTTTCTTAATAAAAATAATAATAAAACAATTTTAAATAATAAAAAAATGTTACAGACAGATGAATCACATCACATCCATTTGGCTGTGTAACATCGGGTGTATGCAAAATCTTTTGGATTTTAACAAGTGAAAAAAACTTTTTTTTTATAGCGGATCTGCTTGAAAAGGTTGGAGAACTTGTTGACAAACTTTTTGACCTTGACGAAGAGCTGATGAAGAGTTGGATCACAGCTCAGCCAAGTGAGGAAGAGGATGGCGAAGAGTGCCGTCTGGATCTTGTCTCATGCCTGGTTGAGGCAGCGAGGCAGCTCAGGTGGGAATTTGGAGGTTTATTTCGTGATCTTGTTGGCAATGTTTTCTCTGTGAAAATCAACACAGACTTATATAGTAATTATTAAATAATTAATAAGAAACTATGGATAGTATTCAGTTGCAGGAAAACTATTAAAATGTCAAAAATTAATACAGAACTTACAAAAACTGAAGGCAGTAACTGTAGAAATAATCATTTATATTTGGTCATACTTTGTTTTATTAACTTCTGTTCCTAACACTCATGGTCTTATTTATATATTTGTCTTTAAATAATATTCAAATGTTGAATTGTGACATACAGCAGCAGTATTATACAGAGAACACAGTTGTTTGTGGCACCGTCATACTGTAAACACAGCAGCACTGACTTGTCTTCACAGACCAGAGAGTCCTAATGGATTAGAGGTTTACCTCCACGTTCTTCAGCTCCTCACTACCACAGATGAGGGTATTCAGGCTTTTGGTAAGTCTGTGTTCAGCTGCCACGTGACTGTCTGACAAATTCAGGGCTGTGCCCTCACTGTTGTTGTTGATCTGCTATATGAACAGATAAAAAGTGTTATTTTTTGTACCTTTTAGCTGTCCTGGATGGACCAGGCAAAACGGTCTGGGACTTTGTCTGTGAGGATGTTTACCAGAAAAATGATCCTTCAGTTTTCCTGCAGGAGCAGAAGAGCCTGTTGATCCTGTCCCTCTCTGTCCTTCAGGCTCTGTACAGGTGCCAGGATCAGTGGTCCAGAAAAGGCAACATAAGTATGTTTGACCAATGAAGTATCTAGATGTTCAAGTAATGACTCTTTCTGTAAAAATACTATTAGTTAAAAAAAAAAAATATATATATACAGTATATACATGTAAATTTATGTGTACATGTATGCACATCTATGTTTAAGAAATATATATATATTTATATACATATATATAATTTCACACGTGATATATATATATTTATATACATATATAATTCCACACGTGTATAAAATATATACACACATATATATATACATATATAATTTCACATGGATTTAAATATAGATATTTACATCAAATCAAATGATTAACATTAAAATTAAGCTTTTTTTTTAATTTTCCCGTCTAAATAGAACTTTTCTAATATCTTAATACCCAGAGTGAATTATTTACATTAAATGTTCTGTCCATTTCCAGGTCTGCACCTTATTGCAACCATATTGCAGGTGCTACAGCAGCACAGTGTGAGTCACACAGAAGACGAACAGTTACAGACTCTGGCAGAGATCGCAACAGAGTTTTTTGCAGACATCTGCCAACAGATCACCAGAGTATGACCACACAAAATCATTGTTGCTGTTGTTTTTGATGTCTTTTGTAAAACCTAATGTAAACAGTTTCTTTTTTTGACAGGATACAGTGGCAGATTTGGTAAAGAATGGTCTACTGACAGAAAAGACCTGTCTCACAGCTGCTGGCAGTTTGGATCAAGGTTATAAAGCTTCAGTAAGTTTTTTTTTTTTCAATATATATAGTGTGTTTGTTATAAATAACCCAGCTGATTGTGGCTGATTATTTTTATACGTCTGATTAAACACACAGTTGCACTTGGTTACATGTGATTTGGAAATTATTATCAAAAACAAATATTTTCATCCATGAGAAAGATTAATGAAATTATATTCCTGTTACGACAGAATTAAAGTCTAAAATTACTAAAGATATTGATTACAAAAATGGCTTATTGCAGTATATTCACTGTATCCTAGGGTTTGGACATTGTACAGTTTAGTTTAAATTGGAATCAATTTCAGTCTTTTTTGTAACAAGTTTATTTTTATAATATGATCTCAGGCTGGAATCAGAGACCGAAAAAAAAAAATCTCATATTTTCATCTCTTCTTCTTCCTCCTGCAGCTGCGGCACCTGCAGGACATGTTGTCAGAGGCCGATCCTCAGTTGGCAGATGTGATGAGGAAACAGTTTCCTGACTGACGGGCTCCGCACGTCACTCGTCCACGTCTGGTGGTGGGACCATTTTTATTTCCACTGATTTTGTTTCATACACACGTGTATGTGTTTCACACGAGTAATGATATTGTCCTAATGAAGAATGTTTCTGGTTTGATGAATTTCATATATTTTAATAAAATGATGCTTAACAACAACAAGGCAGTAGCAATTATAATGAAATGGTTATCATATTTTAGCATATTTTGAGCAATGTTATTTGAACATTTGTGTGAGTACAGTATCAAAAAACAAACATTTCCTAAAACATCTCCAACAAGGAACATTAGGTGAAAATCTGCTTTAGTTTGACTGTAAAAAAAATTCTGAAACATTTTTTACATTATTTGTTTATTTCTATTTGTTTCTTAAAAGGGAAACTGCCAAGTGTGTATTGCATCACCCTTTCAAGCATATGAGTAATGGAGCTAATGCTGATGACAACATCAAGTGTTTACCAGAGGGTGACAGTCACTCGGTAAGGACAATAAATTAGATGAAAGCCTTCAGCGGAGTAACAATGAACTCATTTGGTTTCCAAATGCACCGATTCGCCCACTCACGCAGAAGAGCAGGACAGCCTGCACATTTCCAGTGAGCTCACGACGGCTCTGTGAATATAGCAGCTTTTTAATTAAAGCCTGGATTGAAATGGAGAACATGCTTTCTAATGGAAATCCTGAGGTGGTCACAGAGTGTGTGTGTGTGTGTGTGTGTGTGTTGTACAGATCACCCTATGGCAACGACGTGTCTCATCAGTCCTGCTGTCTCTATACAGGAAGGTCTGAGCGTAGACTCTAAGCCTGATGTTCGTAGGTGGCTGGTGCCTGAATCTGCAAGTCATATTCTGTTTGTCGTTTAAATGGCTACACTCATTTGGCGCTGTCAAGCTTGGCCTTTCAAGACTGCTGGTGGCTAGTTAGTTGGCTGCTCCGTCTTTGGGCCACGCCGGCAGGTGTTTCATGTCACAGAGATCAGACCTGAACCCGGATGTTTACTGCTCGGCTGTCAAACCTCGTTGTCGGTCTGCTGCCTTTCACGGCGGCGTGATGTGATGTGACTCCCTGCACAGCAGGCGGCAGTTGGCCTGGTGTTTTATACACATCAGTGATGCACAACATGTCAGGTCTGTCTGATGCTGGATGTCAGTGAATTCCAACCGCTGCCCACACAGGGCACTTCCTGTTCTTTGAATGACCTGACACTTCAGATGAAAACTCTTATATTTCTGTGTCTCATCAGTGTGACATTCATGTAATAATTAGCACTGTTTATGAGGTTTAAACCTCATGTAAATTAAAGGTTCACTTCAAAAAATATCTCTTATATTATTACCAAGTTAATAGAGATGTTATTCAAACTAATGATGCTGGTAATACATTATTTCCGTAGCTGTTGCTCTAACACACTTGGAAAATTAAATAATATTTACTGCACTATTGGACATTTTGCTAATTCATTCTGTATAGAAATTTAAGCCTCTGGTCGTTGTTGTCTGGTTCTCCTTCATGATGCTTCAGATATTTTTAATAACAGAGAGATCGGGGCTGCAGGTAGACCAGTCAACGTGCAATGATAATACGAAGCAACATATTTGTAATTTTGTGCAAATTCAGTCCAGACTTTTAATCACTCTTTATTATTATAGCTTCTGTTCTTTACTTGTGGCTTTATCTACTTTAAAAACCATTGGACTTTTGAATATTGCCCAACTCATGACTCAACACTCACTTCTGTACTCAAGATCCTTTAGAAAATTCTAGATACTCTAGATCCCGTTTGTTATGACCTGCACTTATTCTAATAATATGACATGTCAGATTATTATATATGTACTACTCATTTAAGCTGAATAAGAAATTCAGTTATTCTTTTGACCATTTAAGAGAAACTTTTTAATTACATTTTCAGGAAATTAGCCATCCCTGGTAATATTGGGATTTATGAACACAAAGCTCTAACTCTATCACCAGAAATGGACTTTGACATGCAACCATGTTCTGTGGATGCAGGATTAAGACGTTTGAACAGAGCTCACATTATGCACAGACTTGTTTATGCTTTATGTTTTAACGTTGGACTCTGGATCCTGGATGAACAAACACGCGTATTTGCCACGTAGCCCTGGTTGCGTCTGACACTTGTGTACCTGTTGCCGGGTGAGGGGAGGGGGGCTAATGAAGGGATAAAGAATGTGTGAGCAGCGTCACGTTCTCCCTCTCCTTTGATTCCAAGCCCTGGTCCTATTCACAAGCACCTGAAGGTGCTTTCATAAAGACCCATCATGATGTTAGCCACAATCAAAGGGCCTCCAGCTCATTTCCTGAGTTCCCTGACGTTCTATCTCCTGTCAACACAATCACAATGAAACTTTGCCCTCAGTGATCCCCAAATATCAAAGACTCTGACGTTTTGCTGTGATGTGGTGACGTGCACCCAGAAGCCCGTCTGCTACTGTTAATGATGCGGCAGCAGGGATTAACTAATGAACGGCCAGTCAAAGTATATTTCATCATGCTGTTATAACCTCATAGAAATTGTGTTTTTAATGTGCATAGACCAGCAAATTAAATGACATCGGCTGATAAGCACAGAGGACTGACTTCCTGCTCTGTACAACTCTTTTCCACATTCTCCTCAGCTGGTATTGTCAGACCCTGGTTTTAATCGTGTCAGTAACAGTGTGTTATCTTTAATTCATAAATCAAATAAGAATACAAGACAGAAATTCTTTCTTCTCAGTCTTCAGCCATTTCAACACATTGTTGCTTCAATCCATCCTGTGGTAGCACACACACACACACAACAACAACACACACTTGTGTACTATAATTATTAATTTTCCTCTTAACAAAGACGTGTTTTCCCACTTCTCTGAGTCAGACTTCCAGTGTGTTGGAGTCACATCATAAGCCCTTTAATAAATCATCTACATGTGTGTTTTGAATGGTGCAGGTGTTTACTGGTGGAGCTCCATCCTGTCTGACCTTGTGCACACGGACGCCTGTCACCATGTGGCACATGTTCCTGTTTGTTCTGTAATGAAAGAATCGGAGCTAATTAAAGAGACGGTGTCCCGTCAGAGGAAGTGCACGCGGGCGGACCAGTCGCTGTTTAGATTGGTTAGTTGTTCAAACAAGTCTCAGGTGGAGATGAAAGAGAGGAACCGTGTTCATGAAGTGATGGTAGACTTTGAGCCTTCATCCTAAGCTGTCCTGATTATTGTAAAATAAGAACAACGCCTTTCATCACCATGGATACGCTATTATAAACAACCTGAAACATTTAGGAGGATTAAGACAATAAAAAATATTCTGAATATTTGGTCGTGATATGGACCTCCACCTTCTCACCCTCTAGTTTTCCAGAATTCCTTATCTTCTACAGTGTGATCTAAGATGTGGTGCAGCTTTAATGCCTTGCTTGAGCTGCCTCTAAGTGCCATGGGACGGATTAGACAGTTAGATCCCTCACAGCTTGATGCTCAGACACTGTGATTAAATCCCTCTGATTAACCTGAACAGAACTGGGACAGAGTGGGCTGAGTGCAGCTTCGACACAGCCACGCACATCTGTAGCACAGCTTCACTTTAAAACAAAAACAAACAAAAAAAAACCAAACAGTTAAGCTTACCTTCCTCTCATTATAATGAACAAAAGTGGAGAAAAATGGTGCAGACAGGCTGGAAAAGAGCAGGGTTTTAAGAGAGTAGTTGATGTTGGGTTTAGAGCAGACCTGGGCAAACTACGGCCCGTGGACCAGATACGGCCGGCTGGTACAGACAATGTCAATCCTTCTATTTCATGCATTACAAGGAATCGACTGTAATATCTGTTGATGTCACTAGTAGGCAGCGGACGTCAAACGTGCTAGATTATCTTTGAAAGTCAAATTTTGACTTCAATTCGACCTGTGAGCCAAAAAGTGTGCCCGACCTCGTGGCTCTGTCTAATAGTTAAAAGGTGAAGAGTTGGAGGTGGCAGAGATGAAGATGCTGAGATCTTCCCTGGAAGTGATGAGGATGGAAGGGATTACAAATAATAAGTTATGACGGAGCAGTTTGGAGATAAGGTTAGAGAGGGATAGTTGATGTGCTGTTTCACTGTCTCCGACGAAGGACAAAAGAGGCCAGAGAAGATTAGTGGATGTAGAGGAATATATGGTCCACAAAAGACAACCATAATGAGCCACCCTCATCATAATGCATTCTGCCGCCCGTGGAAGGGATCTGGACTAAAATCATCTCAAAGCCTTTCATTATCTGTGTCACTTAATATTCATAGGTTGCAGGGAGAGCGGAGGACACCGCTCTGACAACAGGCCAAAAGAAGAGAACAGCCTCAGAACATCTGTAACTTTCTTATTATTCTTTTGATCAGCAGCTGTTTCCAAAAATATCCTAAAAACTACCTTTGTATTTATTAGTGATCTGCACAATATTTGAAACCTGAAACCAGCCTGAAGCCTTAAAGTCCTTTGGTTATGGTATAAACGAAGCAGATCTTTTCTCCAGGACCTGTCAAGACAGCAAACATCAAAGACGTGAGCAGGACGACTGGACCTTTACAGTCATGTATTTATAGGTGTACTTTAGTTGTGTTTGGCCTCTCTCTGCAAGAGCCAGTTGTTTGGGCTTCAGTTCATTAGTGAACAATGACGCGGTCACATCATTCAACAGGCTTTGTCCTTTTCCTGTTCTTTTTCCACCTCTTCATAGAGAAGAAGCGTCACGAGCGTCAACAGCTATTCTAGTGGGAAAAATCCAGCCCTTCACTACGTATTAGTCATAGTTAACATGTCTTTGGGCGTTGCAATTCTCTGCAGCAGCAGCAGCAGCAGCAGCAGCAACAGCAGCAGCAGCAGCAGTAGCCTGGTTTACCCTTTGTGGTGTTTGCTGACGAACGACTGTGTCAATGGACAAAGTTTCCTCTACACAGGCCAAGTAGAGCACGCACGTTGGATTGTTATGTATTCACTAGATTTTTTTTTAAATCTCCACAAAGAGAAAAAAAATTGCTAACAACAAAAACTATCTTGAGTACTGTCAGAACATTCAGTCATGGAGTAAACCATCTCTGGTTGCAGTTGAATGTCTTTTTCTCACATTTTCCAAAACCACAAAACCACACGCAATACCTTATAGAACCATGAGCCCTTAGCCATATTAACTTTGTAAAAAAGTACATTCTTTATTTGTGTGGAAGCCTGTTTTTTGATCAGATCCATACGTGTAACTAATGATTTTAGATGCACCTGTGCAAAAGGACCAACAGCATCTGTAATGGTCTGGGGGACATCAATAACCATCAGTTTGGAGTCCAGACCATTAAGAGGAGGCTCAGACAACAGCGTCTGACCGTAGACTCCAGACAGTGAGACTAGAGCTTAAGCCTTTTAATAAAGCAGAGATTGACCACTTGGAAATCTGCAAGAATTAATATCCTCCTCATCTCATCATTGTTTATTCATCATAAAATGTACGAAATGTATGTTACAATATCATATTTTGATCAACTAAAGCTTAGGAACTGGTACATTCTGGTACATGTTTTTTTATTATAAATAAAAAGAGGAAGAGTGTCAAGAGTTATCGCAGTAATCCAAGGGCAGTGTAGTTTACACTCTATTTGCTGAGGTTTATTAATCCTATCATGACTGACAAAGTTAATACGTAGGGGAACTACAGGGTGGACACTGTTGTGTATTTAAACAGAAACGGTTGTCCTTGATGTGGACTTTATCAGACATGTGGCCGACAGGCAGGTAATCATTGGACTTACGGTGTGTGTGTATGGAAACATTTGCAGTGTAGAACAACATTAGGATCAGTGTCAGTGATTTGATCAGGAGACATAACAGGTGTTTCCTGTAGGTAGAATGTTGACTCACACTCTGAGCACAGACATGTGTTCCCCATTCAGAAAAACAAGTGGTTAATTTCCTTCACTGGCTCTTCAGTTACGTAACCCCTCTGTCCATGTCACGAGGGACACATGCCAAAACCACCTGAGATGAAAGCTAGCCACGTCGCGTACATGTATCACGGTATAGTAAGAGAAATGATTGGAAGACAAACACATGTCACCTGTCCCATTTGTTAAAGGACTAATGCTTAAAGAAACAGCGGTGTTATGGGTTTAAAGTAATGAGGTCTCTCAGGTTCAGTGCTGGATTCTAGGTCTCTAAAGCCTTTACGCTTAATTATCTTGATCTTATTAAAAGGCTGACGGTGTTAAAGAGAAGGAAAACATGCAGATTATTCCTGCAATGTGCACGCGAGCCCAGAAGTGCTTACAGTGCAGAGGAGTGGATCACTGTACGAAGGCTGGTGGCTGGCTACGTTTGAATCCTCTTAGACTTTGACTGTACTTTCAGTCAGGGTGTCAACAAACAAAGAAGAACTAGGATTGAGGTTGTCTGCACTCGAAACTTCAACTGGAATTGACTGGAGTGAATGAGATCAACATGGGGCCCAAACTACATGTACAGGAGAATCATGACAACGTACTGTACTGCTAACCTTTGTTTAATACTTTTTTAAAATTACAATGTAAATGAATATTAAAACGTCCCCAGTATTAGAGTCAAAATGCAGCCCCAAACCATAACAGAGCTTGCTTGATTAGTAATCTAAAACAGCGGCCCCCAACCTTTTTTGCGCTATGGACCAGTTAAATGTCTGAACATTTTTTCACAGTCCAACCTTTAAGGTGTGGTGGATAAATACAACTATATACTATATACCAAGGGTATGATAAGATGGTCATTTTTATTTAGCCTATTATACAGACTTGTGCTGCCGTTTCTGTCCATGTAAGAACCATTAGGTGTTTCTCTTGCTTCCCAAGGATGGTGTAAATGTATACGTATAATGTATAAGTGACTGTATATGTTCAAGGCCAATAAAGCCAATTATTTTCCTCACATAAATAAAGAAAGACACTCTGAAGACATAAAATCCGATGTTGAGTTTTTCGGTTGCCAAATTATTTGCTCTTTTCTGCCCTTTTTTTTTTGAAATCTTAGGCTGCAAGTTTACCATGTGAGTCAAACTGACAAAAAGGTGTGTGTGCAGTGATTTAAATGTGAAGTGATTGAGTGAGCAGACTGCCTAAAAGCATACGACTTGAACGGAGGTCATAAGGTTTATTTTGTTTTGTTTTTTGTTCATTTTACATTTTTAGACAAACAACAAGAAGTGAAAACTACAATCATTCTTCTGCGATTAAATTAGGGGAGTAAACGCAGGAACATGTCAAAACACCCATATACTATAGTATGTAGCTTTTATCATACGGTGTGAAATCAAGGACAGTTTTAGTCACACCGTTCCCTAATGACGTGAGCACTGCTGCTCTTTTTCCATTTGCTGCTGGGGCTGAGATTAGGGCCCCCTCCTGCCCCCCAACCCTCCCCACCCCCTCACCCCTCTGTCTCCCTCTGGTTAAATAGCAACGTGCGCTTTACGTCCCATGGACAGAAGGCTTCCTTTAAAAGCAGGCGACATAAAAAGGCTCAGCTGCAGCAGAGGTTTAACATGTACTCCAACAAAGTGGAAGGACCACGTCGAGGACGGTCCTTTGATTCCATTAATATTGGGATTGAAGAGAAATTCCTGAATAATGAGGTGAGGCATTATTATTATTATTATTATTATTATTATTATTATTATTATTATTATTATTATTATTACTTTAGAAAATAATTGTCAGCAGCACAGGTTTTGTGACAGGTTATGAACGGCCCGTCCTGTATCCAAACAGTTCTAAGCCTTCAGTTTGTCGTCAGCACAGATTATTTACGTCAAAGGGATAAGAGGGTTATTATGTGATAAATTTAAATTTCCAATCAGGACATACTTATTCGTAAAACTCTGTATTCGTTTAGCAATAAATCTGACTTTACAACTCTTTAAATAAATTATTATCAATAAGCAATAGAAAAATGTGTCCGTTTTTTAAAAATGTTGAAAATGTATGCAAACCCCGTGGACTGTGGCTTATACCGAGGTTTTCTTGCTCAAAAATCGATTAATATCATTAACAAATACATGTTTAACTTTAATCAGTATCTGTACAGTGTACAGTGTGTAGAGCCAGGAAATGACTGTTCCAAATAACTGTAAATTGACCAGCCATGTTCGTACTGTATTTTGATTTTAGTCGACAGCAAAAACTGTTTAAACAAGAAGTAGTGCGCCGCTGACCGACTGCTGTCAACAAACGGGGCTAATAATCGGCCTCTCTGTTTCTAATGGGATTTCACTAAGACGATTCTCCGACACAGAGACAAGTTCATCTTCGTTAAAATGAGACTTGACCCCGGGGATCGTCCTGAACCCGTCTCGCTGTACTAACACTCTCAATGACCCAACGGTCCAGACTGCACCACCGACTGGTCCGTCGCGCTGTTTTGTCAATGACAGATGCGGCTTCCCCGCTCCTCAAGTCATTTTCATAGATATTCTGTTTATCTAATGGCTTCGTCTAAAAAAACTTACGTATAAACGCAAAAATTACTTTCCACCCAGAAGGAAGGAGAAATTGTTCAATTCAATTTTACTGTTAGTTTTCTGTGCTGTTGGCGCGGACAGAGCGCTCAGAGTCTACGGTCTGTGCTGTTGGCGCGGACAGAGCGCTAGTCTACATAAAAGCGCTGTCCAAGGTCCTGAACGAGGAGCGGGTACGTGGTCTTATACTGCAGCTGAAGCCCTTCACCACCACACGTTTACAAGAAGACAGTTTTAATTTTTCTAACATCTCGAACTGCTGTTGGTTCACCTATTGAAACGCGGCCAAATCCTCTGCAGATTTTATTATAATACATATTTTTTAAAGTAAAGAAAGTACGATCTTTTTATACAATATTAAAATATACTTTCACTTCTCTTCAAAGATAAACAAATACACTTTCATGAAAATTGAGGAGAACAATGAGAAGAAGAATACATCAGAGAAAGGAAGAGCAACAATCATCTTTTCCCTCAAGAATGAAGTTGGAGGACTTTTGAAGGCACTCAAACTATTCCAAGTATGTACAATATTCAAACGTTTATTATACATGATCTCTTTTTTAATTTACTGTATGAATTTTTTAGCTAAATAATTTACTCTCTTACAGGACAACCATGTCAACCTTGTACACATAGAGTCAAGAAAATCCAAACGACGCAACTCAGAATTTGAAATATTTGTGGACTGTGACAGCAGCCATGAACAACTGAATGAAATTATTCAGCTGCTTAGAAAACAAGTGAATGTGGTTGGCATGGAGCTACCAGATAATTCCTGTCTACACGAGGAAGGTGGGATAGCACAAACAGCCGCAGAGTTTAAGATGAATAAACCCAATGAAAAAACTAAATTTCTAATTGTCCCGCTTTGTCCCATCCTCAGATATGGAAGATGTACCTTGGTTCCCTAAGAAGATTTCAGACTTGGACAAATGTGCTAACCGTGTCCTGATGTATGGCTCTGAACTGGACGCTGACCACCCTGTACGTATTCAGCAGGCACAATTTCATCTTTTTAAGACAAACTTTTTTATGATAGTTTGCTCTTTTTTCTATTCAGGGTTTCAAGGACAACGTGTACAGGAAAAGGAGGAAGTATTTTGCTGATCTTGCCATGTCATACAAACAGTAAGACCAGCTATAATCCAGTGAACTCCAGTTCAGAATCCTTAAAAGATTTAAAGAAATCTAAAAAAAATGAGTCTTATTTTCTCATTTCAGTGATGAACCAATTCCTCGCATCGAGTTCACAGAGGAGGAGGTAAAGACATGGGGTGTTGTTTACAGGGAGCTCAACAAGTTGTATCCAACCCATGCTTGCCGTGAATACCTAAAGAACCTGCCACTGTTGTCCAAGTACTGTGGATGTCGAGAGGACAACATCCCTCAGCTTGAAGATGTTTCACGCTTCCTCAAAGGTAGCTTTTATCTTTTATAAAAGGAACCATCCTTATGCCTTACAGTGTGTACAAAATAATCAATATTCTTTGTTTTTTAATGTAATTGTTGATATACTGTATCTAAATATCTTTCTAGAACGTACTGGGTTCACTATCAGGCCTGTGGCAGGTTATCTGTCTCCACGCGACTTCCTTGCTGGTTTGGCTTTTCGTGTTTTCCACTGTACCCAGTATGTGAGGCACAGCTCTGATCCTTTATATACTCCAGAGCCGTAAGTCATATCTACTTTAGCAAGAAAAGAGTTGTGAAATGCACACAAGTGGCTGCTCCTCCTAACATTTTTGGCCTTTTTGTTATTCAGAGACACATGCCACGAGCTGCTGGGTCATGTGCCCCTGTTGGCAGAGCCCAGCTTCGCCCAGTTCTCTCAAGAGATTGGTCTGGCCTCTCTCGGGGCCTCGGATGATGCGGTTCAGAAACTGGCCACAGTGAGTGACGCTTGTTAAAAATGAATTTAATCAAGTTCGATTGAACTGAAATCAAGGGGAGCTGCTGTAACGCCTTTTATATGCTTTCCGTTGCAGTGCTATTTCTTCACAGTGGAGTTTGGCTTATGCAAACAGGAGGGGAAGCTGCGAGCCTACGGAGCAGGACTGCTGTCATCTATTAGTGAGCTCAAGGTAAATGCAGTAGTTAGGGTTAGGGTTAGTAGTTAGTAGTTCGTTTATTATTAGTAATAAACAACATGGACAACGTCTATGATTTTAGTCTTGGGAAATATAACAACATGGACAACGTCTATGATTTTAGACGTTGTATATCACTGAATCCAAAAAACAAATATAGGACTTTTTTGTGACATTTTTTAATGTATATTTATCTCGTATATCTCTTTCAGCATGCACTGTCTGGGAATGCAAGGATAATGCCCTTTGACCCCAAAGTTACATCCAAACAAGAATGCATCATCACAACATTTCAGGATGTTTACTTTGTGTCAGACAGCTTCGAGGAGGCCAAAGTGAAGATGAGGTAAAGTATCGTTAACATTTTAAACAACTCGACTAACAGCATTGGCCAGTAACGAGCGATTAAATATTTATGCCACTGGTTTTATGACAATTACTTTGTTATCATAGGGAGTTTGCTAAGACCATCAAGCGTCCCTTCACAGTGCGATACAACCCGTACACCCAGAGCGTGGATGTGTTAAAAGACACTCCAAGCATCAACAGTGTCGTGGAGGAGCTTCGGCACGAGCTTGATATAGTAGGTGACGCCCTCAGTCGGCTGAACAAACAACTGGGCGTCTGACTGACCAAACACAAATCAGAAGTCCCATCCCAGTCATGCATCACTGCTTACAATGTGTTAGTCCTCGCATCACTGTACAAATACAGTACCGGCTGTTCATTGCCCTAAGTCAATACCATGAATGTGCACCTCTAGTTCTGTGTTTATATTACATGGTCAGTGGCAATTTATGTGTATTTACAGAGTCATGTTTAGCTGCTGCTATCAGTCCTTGTCACGATCCCAAAGAGCTGCTTCTCAACTGCCCCGTCTTATTTCAGTTGTTTCTGATGGAATAAATGTCTGTGTTGCAAACCATTTCTGTCCTCCAAACAGCATGCTCACGTGTAACAAACACAGATGTGCTTTCAGTCTACTGTATTTAATGCAGCTGTTGTACGTGATTATATGCATTTTTTTAAATTAAATTCTTCTTATTTAATCTCTGACTTCAGTGATTTGTACAATGTGCTTTGTTTAATTATTTGGTGTATGTATTATCCTTGTTTTTTGTGCTGTTGAGAAACAAATGTTAAAGTGACACCAGTGTTAAAGGATGTTTATCATGGTAATTATGACACATTTGGCAACTGTTTTACAGTTATAATTTTGAATACTTTCTCTTAAAATTAAAAAAATTGTACAGGAATACTGTGGTACTCCTGTAATGGAAACAATATTTTTTTACTGTAAATATATATAGATATAATGTACTTATGTATCAAATTACTGAAAGAAAATAAAAAAGAAATGTTTATTGTGGCATTACTTTGTTTGTTTGTTTTTTTTTTAATTTTGTCCTGAAATGGAGAATTAGAGAGGTCTCTTATGTTCTTTTTACCCAACATTTTGAAATGATAAGTTTTATATTTATGCTTGGGCAGCCTCAACTACTTTATTTTCATATAAACCTCTTCTTTTCGGATTAACAAAATTCTTATAGCTAACAGTCATGTTTAGAGAAGATTTTTTAATTAAAGGTTTTTTTAATCTTTATATATGTGGAATAAAATGGGGTTTATTCAATCACCCCAAGTATGTTGATAAATGAAGTGTAAAAAACAATCTGCATCATAAAAGCACAATATCGCAATTGTACACTTTACAAAAAATAAGCATCCAAAAACATATACAAACTTGGACAGAACAACTGGCTCGGTCGTTTTTCTAAGCACGACGTGAAGACTGCTTTACGACAGTGTCGTAAATGGAAACAAACTTGCAGCAGGAGTTTTGTTTACTCTCTTGGGTTAGTGTTTTTTCTTCTTCTAAAATGTAGTGTTACGTTTTGGTTACGTGATTGTGTGTGTGTGCTTGTGTGTGCGTGTGTGTGTCTAATACATTGTGTAGACAAAATACGCATCCCTTATATCGGCATATTAGTTAGCACTTAAGCTAGTTTGAACTTACCCGCCCAACTGCCTGCACTATTTAAATAGGGCGCAATAAAAGTCCGTCACTGTAAGGTGTACTGTTCTAATCGTTTTTGCTATGGTGGTGACTGTTATAATTGATACCAGGGAGCCAACAGCTACGGACAGCTGGGACAAGGACATGTGGCGGACCAGAGTGAACCCCGGTTCTGTGACAGTGCTCTGCTACAAAACAGAGCAGTCCGTGCTGTGGGAGGAGGAGGTGGACACTCGGTGTTCATTACTGGTAAGTCGGATGTCAAACTCCAAAAAGAGAGATCCGTGGACAACTGACGATAGGAATTGATGCAAGTAGTTAATTTTTCTCTCTGTGTATCTTGTCGTAAACAGAAGAAATATATATGGTAGGTTTAGCGACATCTAGTGGTAAAATGTGAAATCTTGACTATATTCCAACATAACGAGCTCGGTAATACAGTTTTAAGTAAATATGACAACACATAACCAGGACATAAAATATGGCAACTAATGAATATTGAATCTAATGGATTTATCGTATGATAATTCATTTGACTGACAAACAAGTGTCCATTATTTTTATTAACCGTCTAAATTATTATTTTTTTCTTTGTTTCTTCATATCATATTAATGTCTCACGTCACAAAATTCCAAGCACCATATCAGTAATTTAAATAAAAATGTTTTTTTTGTTTTTTTGCAGAGAATGGAGAGGTGTATGTTTGTGGTCAGAACAATAGAGGACAGCTGGGATGCGACCAAAATGCAAACATTCTAACTCTTCAATTCTGCCCTACACCAAGTCATAAGCTAAAAAATGTAGCCTGTGGTTGGGATTTTACTCTTTTTCTCACTGGTGAGCAAAATTTTAAAACTGTGTATTAAAGTGTGTAGTAAAGTGAGGAAGTATTAGGACTACACTAAGCATAGATTTTACATGGTGTTTATCATTTTTAGACAACTGATGTCTAGTTCATAGAAATGTCAATTGTTGGGTGCAGTGCACTCTGACACCATCATTAAATCAATCTGACATAACACCGGTGTATTTCAAATTACATTCCCAGAGATTACAGGCTGTTTGTCACAAATTAAGTTTGAGGTGAATTATGACACATGAAACATCACAGCAGGTACAGTTTATTAATTGGATGGAGTTTGACAGAGATATGTGCCGCCACCTATGGTCAATGAAAAACTATCAATCTACAAAGAAGTTATGTTGTGTTTAATTCATCCTGCTGCTTTTTAAATATCATTAATACAGACGGTGGTCAAGTACTGGCATGTGGCTCCAACTCATTTGGACAGCTGGGAGTTGGTGCAGCGACTGTACATTCTGCCCAGCTATTAGTTGTAGAGGTGAGCACAGAACGGGTGTTGCTTTCCCCTTTAATGCTGTAATGACATTATGTCAGAACACCTCAACATGTTCAGCCATTCAAGTTCATGTCTGTGTTGTTTTTTTCTCAGGGTCTGAAGAAACCAGTAGTCAGTGTAGCAGCAGGTCTGAGACACTCACTGGCTGTAACAGGTGATGGCGCTAAACTTTAATCCGGTTCATGCTGTTGTTATTGCGCCGTCAGTCCGTAAAATCTCATTTTGTGTTTGGCCTTTAGACTCCGGTCATGTGTATCAGTGGGGAACAGGTCTTTTCAGATCACAGTGCCCACCCCCTGTCCCGTCACACCTCAGCTCTAAGGTGCCATGTTTGGTGCCAGGTAAGAACTGCACTCTGTGTAGTTCCTATTGTTGTTTGTTTAGAGATTTACAGTGATATTGATATACACCCCCATCTTTCAGATCTGGATCAGAAAACACCACGTGTGGTAGCAGCAGGATCAGCGCACTGTGTTTATCTCACTGGTATGACATTTATTTTTGTTGGGATGAAAAGAAACATTTACACATTACAAACCTGCGCCCCAACTTAGTATACTTGTCCAAACACGAGGAAGAACACAGTGAATTTTTCAATTGTAGATATATACAGTATATATATATATATATATATACACATATATATATATATATATCTTTTAATACGTTCAATATAGTTTTTATCTAGACATAAAAACAGTGAAAAAATAATTCAAAAATGTACTTTAAATGGTTCATTTTTTTTTTTTCATTATTTCCTGTCATGTTTTTGTCTCTTCTTGATAACATGTTATGTTGTTTTGTTTGTGTTGGCAGACGATGGTGATTTGTTTCTCTGGGGAAGCAACAGGTTTGGTCAGCTGGCTACCACTCAAGCCTTCCACTCCTCACCTATCGTTCTGAAGCGCTCACTATTTAAAGGAGAGAAAGTTAAAAGTGTTTGGAGTGGCTGGACTCACATCGTTGCTCAAACAGGTGAGACACAGTCACATCTACTGTACAGTTTCATTATGGACTGTTGAAATAATTAAATTAAATAAAACACATTAAAAAATGACATGAACTAGTTACCGCGCTAACTAGTTGGTGACCTGTAATGACATACGTTGTAACGGTGGAACAAGACTTTCTTACTAAATGTATGTAAGGTGGCGAGGATGTAGTTCGAGGATGTTGTAAACCAACGGCCACTGTATAATGTAATGTGATTGTTTGACAGCCCGTGTTTTGTCGTATTACTACTAACCACTAATCACTTTAAAAGACAGTTCTCCTGACTGAATTTGATCCCAATTTGTTTCAGAGAGTGGGAGAGTGTTTACATGGGGCAGAGGAGCGTATGGACAGCTGGGCAGAGCAACATCAAACAGTCAGGATCCAGAGCAGCAGGCAGGAGCTGCAAACCAGGAGGCTTTCTTCCCTTCAGAAGTTGAAACTCTATTTGGGGCAACACAGGTAAAACATCAGCAATGGGAAAACCAGTGTTCCAAAGGACAGACATTAATGGCAACAGGCTGTACTTTTTTTCTCAATTGCAGCACTATACTTGATTTATATATTATTTTTATATTTTTTACTACTATTTTATTTTATTTTTTATTTTTTACTATTCGAGTACTCTTGAGTCCCGTATGGTTTATTTATGTTTTAGATGTTTAATTGACATTTCAGATTTTATAATCCTAGTTATATTAGTCTGAGCCCAGTGTATAGACTTCTTCCGGAATGTTATTCAGTCTAGTAACCCATTTTTACCAATATCACTATTAAGATTACTTGGTATGGTGGTCCCTGAAGCAAAGAGCAATTTCAATATAATACTATTAATTTATCTTTACGCAGCTTTTATCAGTCAATGTTATTTATGCTACATTAAATATGTATGAAACGTCCAGTAGAGGGCAGCAGATAACCACAAAATTGATCATGTGGTGAAACCCAGTATGACAACCAGGCACACAGTTTGGTCCTCAGACCTGGTTGCATAACATCTATCCTGCAGAGGACAAACACACACCTACGGGGAGAGATAGAGAGAGCTGTTATCTCCCTCTTGTTTCAGGACCTCTTTTAATAATAGAAGCCAGGGGTCTTTTCCCCATAAGAACACTTATCGCACAGAATCATGGGATTGCAGCAGTTAACCTGGGCTCTGAGGTGCAGCTTTATGTCCGTCGATTGTTGTCAGTTAAGTGCATGTCAGGGACAGACAAGGGCGAACTGTGCATCATACCTCCACTCTGCATTCATGTCAAGGAGTACAGTCACGTTGTGTGTTAAGATAAAAGGTGGATTGGATGAGTGTATTATGAATCTTGATTACGACACACTTCCATGTCTGTGGTTAACCGTACGTGTCTCCAGTGAAGCCTGGTAACATCACGGAGGTAAACACAATTCACTCTGTCAAGGCTTCAGAAATCAGTGGGTGTGTCCTGTTGTAAAATGGTTTGATTGGCTGAGTGAATCATCCTGAAGCAGCAACAACATCTCTGGGTTGAACAAGTCGACCTTCAGGACTGTGGAAAAAAAACCCCATCAATGATATTATTCCTGTAAATAATTTCCTTTATTAGGAATTAAACAGGAGTTTATAATATACTACATATTCAAGCATTCTACGTTCAGACTTTTACTTTGAAAATGTTGGTTTAACTTGAAGTAGTTTTAACTTTTACTTTGAAAATGTTGGTTTAACTTTGAGTTTGAAGTAATGTTTTACTCTATTTGATATATGTTAAAATGTCAATAATTAAAATAATAGTACACAAAATTGTAAAAGCTGGAGTTTTTCGGTGACGACAGTTTGTTTATACTGCAAAGAAAGCCACTTGTTTGCCATGGGTGACTAATAAGTAGACTGTGGTCTACCAGTAAATCACAAAAGGTGAGCTCATACATCATCTGCATTTAAAATAGAAATGAAATATGAATATTTTTTATAGTGTGAAATTCTAATGACTGTTTGGTGTCATTTTTGTTTGGTTTTGTTTGTAAAAATAGTATACAAGTATATATTATCTAAGAAGCATCTTTTAATCTTTCCATTTCTCCACAGGTTGCATGTGGCTCTGAACACAACCTCGCCATTGTAGGTGAGTTTAATTTCTTTTTTAAATTCCTTTAATTTATCGAAGTCCACCACTAGTCCACCTTTTCTTATTTATCGTCCTAAGGTTTATTCAATTATACCTATCATAGACTGTCCAATTAAAAAAAAGGAGAGCGCTCTTTTACTGTGCCGTGTCAGTTGATCTCAAAACCTGGTACAGGGCCCAAAGTGCTCCACATGGTGTCAGTGTTTGAATGCTCCATAAACCTAGATTTCTATGGAGTCGCTTCAGAAAAAAGCACTTTCTGTTTCCACCTGTGGTCTTTTTATAAACTGGCATGAGGCTGGCCGTGTTCTTACACCGGTTGGCGGGATCCTCCTCAGTACTTTCTGCATGGCAGGCAGGAATCCTACCACTGCGCCACCCTCTGTCACTACAAAATACTGCAGGGGAAACACAGAGCTGCCGTGACTCCTTTTCCGACCTCATTTTCTCATCCCATATGAAGTCATACAAAATATACACAGGTGTGACTAATCCGTTCCTGTTAAATCCTGCACTGGACCAAAGGGTTTGAAAGTGAGCTCTTTGATAAATGAAAGTTTAACATGAGAATTTAATTTTTTTTTTCAATTATCCTTCAGCTAATGCAGCAGACAATTTTTGAGGTCAGCTCTATGCTCTGTGGCCTTTGCATCGGGAAGTAATTACAGCACAGATACATGGAGGCCATTGAGGAAACCAATTATCCGAAGCACTCTATAAAAGCGCTAAAACACACACACACAGAGATAGAGGTAAGGTCTTTTATAGTCAGTAGTTTAAAGAACAGCCGTTGGTTCTCCAGCCAATAATACAGCACAGACACAACAGTAAAACCCAACCTTAAAATATACTGTACCTAACATTCTGTACCTGTGATCCTTAGTTTATTGTACAGGCTCTGTCGTTTTTACTGCTGATGTTAGATTATATTCTCAGATAAAATTGGTCATGTTTTTACAATACTGGAGAGAAACATTGAAACGTTCGTGTACCGTTATAATTAGAAAAGTGTTAATGTGGACCGTCCTTCACGATGACAGCCGTGATTCAGCAGTGTGTTGCTCCATCAGGTGCTCAGTTGTGACATAATATAAGCAGAGGCAACAGCAGGAGGGCTCACATCACCCTCCTGCAGCTCATGACTCGGATACTTTTGCCCCCCTATCCCCTTTTTTTCCTCCCTCATGACTCGGATACTTTTGCCCCCCCCACCCCCTTTTTTTCCTCCTCTTGTCTCAAAATGTGGTGACAGGATTTCTGAAATGGCAAAAGAGGACTGAAAGCAGAGACCTGAGTGTTGCTATTTCAGGTGCTGAAGTAGGTCAGGCGGAAAGAACTGGGGGGGAAAAGTATCGCTCGTTGCTCGTGGTATCTGTTTCCTTGCGCCTTTGTACGTGAAGAATATCTCCTCAAGTTTAAAAACTCACTGTCGAAAATCAGAGAAGGAAACACCAGAGATACCTTTTAACTTGACATTACAGTTGTTAACTAAATTACTCAGTTCCTGTCGTTACCCAAACTTGTTTTGTCTGTGCGTCGACCTGTGATCCAGTTGCGAGCATCTTTAATTATTTAAGCTGTTGAATTTTAAATAAAAAAAAAAATAGAATTCGATTTTGAGAAAATATATCTACCAGCTTGTGTCATGATTTCTATCCTTTTGTGATGCATGATATTGTGCAGACACTTTGTTGCCATGGAAACACCGAGGTGCTTTACTTCAGTCAGTGAATTCATGAATTAAGAACAGCACCAAACTAAGGCTGCTTCCACCTGAAGGGAGGAAATACATCAACAAATGACGTTTGTTGGCACTTTTTCTTTTATTAAAGAAGCCTTCATCAATGGTAACAGACTGTAGTGGGAAATACATCCAGATAAAGGCGGAGCTGCATGGTGCTGTAATGCAAGGGCCCTATCTGGCAATCTGTCGCACTGACATAAGCTGCTGGCATGATGTCTCGGTCTGTGAACTGGCAAATGTATATGTGTTTGTTGGCACATCCACATCTTTGAGAAGAAAAAAATAACCGCAGCACGCGGAAGGACATAGAAGGCTCTCGGTGACACAAAGGGAACGAAATGGCACCAAAGACACACAACTGCAGGGTGAGGAAAGGCTGAGATGTGTTACCCTTGAGAAAGCAAACTGGCTTCTGTTGCCATGGCAATGGAGCTGATTAGGTAACTATGTTGCCATGACACGTGTCTCCTTGGTGATGCAGAACTGACCACACCCACCAACAAGCTTCACCAGCTGTGAAGAGCAGGGAGGCTGTGGTACTGGGGAAGTGTCAGCCCCGGGAATAGGGGCTCTATGTGTGAGCGTGTGTGTGATGCAGTCACATTATGGACATTTGTCCTCCGCAGCCAGAGAACAAGACGGTTCTTTAAATCTGAAAGATAACATTTTAATATGAGAACACTTTAATGTTCAGGTCAGGGTCAGATCAAGTCTGCAGGAAATGAACACAAAAGAACCAGAGGAGGCAGAGAGAGAGTTTGTAATCTTTGCTTTTAGTCACAGTTTGGTTTTTTTTTCCTGGCTGCTAATTTTAGCTTTTTCGGCATCGTGCTACATCCTCACCTTTCTTCTGTTGGCTTCACTGACTCCTGTCCTTTTTAGGAGGTTGTCTTTTCTCCTGGGGCTGGAACGAACACGGGATGTGCGGAGACGGCTCTCAGACAAACGTCAGCCAGCCGAGGCTGATGCCTGGTCTCAGACCTTGTCTTGTTGGCTGTGGAGCTGGACATTCTATAGCAGTTTGTGCTGCGTTGACTGAACCATGATTTAAAAACTGCACTGGCTACAACACGGAGCATTACGTAAGAGAAAGAAAAACACAATGACATTGTAAACAAAGATGTTTTAGTAACTTTATAGTACTTTGCGGAAATAACCCTGAAGGTCGCCTGAGTGCCTCTGATTTACAGTCTCTTTCACCTGAAAGGTTACCTGAGCCGTGTGCAGAGGTCATGCTTTAAATGCGGTTGTCATTATTTCGCTGATGTGGCTGCTCACAGGCCACGGACAGAGGCCGTGATTCACTTGTCACTTTGATGGACGTGACATGGCTACACGGTATGTGGGCGTGCCTATAGCTCCTGGTGGCCTCCCTAAACAAACACCGTTATGGTCGGCTTGAGAGATGGTCTGCACGGTTGCTACAGCTTCATCTTCCCACATCAGTAGGTTTATTGCTGTCATCTTCCGTGTCACGAGGCCGTCAATCTCTGTACATCATAGTGAATATCAGCTGATTTACCACCCACACATACAGGACACTTTTCTTTACAGCCCATCCCGCCTTTATGTTCCTGTCAATCTGTGAGATATTCTTCTCGGTATTAATTTATTATATATTTGCACCACTTTCATACTCTTATCTTCAATGATGCCTCTTGGGAGAAACTTGCACGCTGCATTTAACCCAGCCTACACATGTCAAGGCTGCCGGGCTGCATGTACTGTACTCTACACACCTTTGTTGTTGTGTACCCATTGTTATTATGACAAAGAAAAGAGACATATGAGGCAATACAGGCCACAGAGTTGTCCTGTTGGTTACGTGTTAGGAAGAGCTTGATGTTGTATTGTCTTGGTAATGATATTCTGAGCACATATACAGACAGAAACAGTCCAGTCTTTTTAACTGCTACTCAGGCCATGTTGAGTCCATGTGGCCATTTCTGTACAAATCCGTAATGATAGACTTCTCATATCAGGATTATGACTAAAAAAAAAAAAATACTAAGTCTAATGGAGTTCGGCTGTATGACTTTGAGACATTATCTTATATTATTTTTATTTTTAAACCTTTGTCAAAGTTGCATGAATGATCTTTTACCAGGACCTGTTTAATAAAAAGCCAAAAGAAACACTCACCGAAAATACTTATTTCTGTCTTCTTTTTTTTTATTTACGACTATTTATTTTACAAGCCTGTACTGTATAGGTCAAAAAAGACACAAAAAATCCCTAAACATTAAACCAACCAAAACATTCAGTCAACACCTTATTGAGATACCTAACCACAAATATGCACGGTGTTCCAAACACACACTCCGACGTCTCACTAAACAGTATACATTAGTTGCCTTTTTGTTTAGTTATTTATGCTGCTGGTTGTTTTTTGTTTGTTTGTATGTTTTATAGTTGTTTTTTTTTAAATACTGTGTTTATTCCCTACAGTTATCAGCACACTGTACTCCCCACATGCTCAGCTCTATTGGCAGATCCAGTCGGTCTGTATTGACTGCACACAGGTCTCAGAAGTGTTGGCAGTGTTGAGTTGTTGTCTGGTAAAAAGTTGGTCCCTTTTTAACAAACTTTCCACACAGATAGTAGACCTGTGAAAACTGCTGTCTCTTTAATTAGCTTTACTCTCTAGATGCTGATCCATTTGTGCTATTATTGATTTCTTTATATATATTTTTTAATAATCTATGTTTGATGATTTAATGAAATAAAACGAGTGTTTGTTTTCCTAGCCTTAACATTTGATGTTATCATATGGGCTTAAATATTCCTGATATTCCTGGTAAGAAAAACATTTGCATAACAGAGGCACTTGTCCAGTATGAGGCTTATGACATTTTGGCAGTTATATAATAGTATAACCAATAGCATGTGTGCAGAAAAGGAAAAGTAATTCCAGTCAACATGATTGTCAATTAAAAAGTATGACAGTATGATCAGTGTCTGAGCGTTGACAAGTAAAGTCTACGTTAATCCAAGTACAACGAGAACTACACACACATGTACAATCCTAATTTTTGAGAAAGTTGGTACACTTGGTAAAAGTGCTTTAAACAATGAAATCTGTCATTTGGTAATGTGGGCCAGGCTTTATTGGAGGTGTTTTTACTGAAAAAGATGCAGATATCCTTCAGGTGTTTTTATAGGTTTCTCCATTAGCTCAATATTTAGCTTTAAGTATTTGTACTGGTCGCTAAAGGAGCACCAATCAACGGTGAAAACCCTTGTAACCTGTCCTTTTGCCCAAAACGTTTTTTTCATCTTATTACCAAATTACACATTTCAGTATTTTGGCTGTTCTATATAATGTGCCAACTTCTCTGGCTCATTTATCAACTTCAACTTTCTATATACTACTTGTCATTATCTTACAAAACCAATTCGTACCCTAATACTACGTCTTAAATACTGCAGAAAAGGGTAAAATCGGCTTCTCTTTAACTATTAACCCTACGTATAGATATAATGCCTTTAATTCCCGACAACATATTAAAATAATATGAAAAATTCACTGGTGCAAAACAGTGCAAAAATCTCTACTAAGTTGCGACCGTGACTGTTTAAAGATGATCAGAGTCCAATTCTTCGGTCTGACTGACATGACAGGTGGCAGTTTTTTGTTGTTGTTGTTTTGTTTGTTTTTTCTGGAGGAGGCAGAGGTTAAAATCGGAGCAACATTTTTTTTTCTTTCAACAGAAGAAGCAGCACACAAATATTGGATGATCACTGGAAAACATTGGTACACACAACTTCAGCGCACAAAAAAAGCATATTTACAGCACTGGCACACACCAATAGGCACACAAATTACAACACAGTAACCAGTCACAGATACTGAGCTATACTGTATAAGGCTTGACAACAAAACTTCCTCAGTGCTACATCTATGCTGAGTTTGTGATGTACAGGTTGTCACTGTCACACCCATAGAAAAATACTAAGTAATACACACAACAATGCTACAGCACTATCAGGTGGGTGATGGGCCGTTATGAGTCATACACATAGTGGTTGGTACACCATGGTTCATAACACAAACTGACTCTGTTGGTTGTCTGCGCCGCTGCTGTCGCTGGGTCTCTATAAAAATATAAAAAAAGTAACAAAAATAAATTATTACACAAACTATGTATAATGGTGGAAATGAAGGCGATGATGGAGAGCGCTGGAGTGCAGGTAGAGATGACAAATGGCGCTAGCTTGGAGAGTAAAGAAAATGTGCTCCGTTAGTTCTGCATGGTAAACCACATGTTTACCATGTTCTTCCCATGCTTTAGCCAAGGCATCAGACAACAATGTACTGTCTGTGGGCAGAGGTTGGACTCCGACCGTCGGTTAATAAACATGCCAATCATGCTGCACTTTACAGGATTATATACGGTAGTTCAGTCAGTGTCATGCGTTTGTGTACTTGGTGTCATGCTCTCACAGTCACCTTGGTTTTTGTTTTACTTTATTTTTGTCTTTGTTGCTCTCTTTGACCCGGACACAGTAAGACAGAGGGTCAAACAGCGGAGGACAACACTAGCCGTAAGCTAGTGAGGGAGGACAGTTGAATGTTTGCATGTGCTGCTGAATAAAAACGGAGGCTAAACGCTCGTTGTGTATAAAATTTATTTCATGCAATGACTTGTATTTACATGTTTTCTTTGAATACTTTTCCGTTGCATAAATGTAAAATACATGCATTTACCTTTCCCCAAGGAGACCCACATCCCATACTAGAGCGTGTTGGTTGTTTTTTTGTTTTTTTTACCCCATTTGAATTGCATGAGCATATAATTCACCTTAACCTCTTCACATTAAATCTTCACAACTTTGATTTTTTCTATATTCTTTTTTTTTTAATATATATAAACGTCCATTTATAACCACAAGAGACATGACTTGAAAAGGAAAAACTCTGCTCGTTCAGAGAAAAACAAACGTGACTCGCTATACTGCTATACTCTTCTCCGTCTTTTAGGTCGGTCAACATAGAATTTGTTAAAGTGCCCTGAAGAATTGTGCATAATATTGGGACAGTATCAGTACATGTAAAAGTGATATTAGTGAAGTTATAATCAATACGCATACATACTGTAATAACCTGGTCCGCTGTGGGTTTTACGTTGTGCTTTCGTATACATTTCTGTTTCTTGAGATAGGGACAAAAATATCCGTGTTAGATTTTTTTTTTATGCTCATCTTTAATGACACTGCTTAAAGTCAATTCTTACTATTTAGAGTAAATCATGTATAACCTACAGGGCAGTTCTACTGTGTGAGGATATGAGGGGTGGTGCAAAAGGTTACAAGGTGCACCTTGTAAAATAAAGCTTTCGCCACACTGCCGTGAGCATGGTGTCAGCTCGTATTGATGCTACACTGGGAGCTATATGCAATGATTAAATTTTGATTTTGCCTCAACACATATTAAGGCACCGGCGTTTAATAATCAGTGAGTCCTGCCCTAATTTAAGCGTTGCAGCAGTTCTGCGAATGGCTGCCAGTTAGCGACACTTTAAAAACCCGTCGCCACGAGTCAGTAGACCTGTTTGTATAAAAACTACTTCTGTTCATAGCGGCGTTAGTTGGCTTAAGGACAAATCAGGCAAGTTAAATCATCACTTTTTAGCTGAAGACCCCAGTCAAGTAAGTAAAATAAAGATATGAATTTGGGGAAAGGCAAAGAATGGTAGCTACATAAAATCTCTGCTATGACTGAGTCTCTTTGTAAAGCTGTCTCAGAATGCATAACATGACAAAGCTTTAGCAGCTTCTCAAATGAAAAGGAAAACAAAACAAAAAAAAGAGTCCTTTTCTTCTTTACGCTTCTGGTTGAATATAATTTCTCATGCAGTTCATGCAAATGAACAAACAGTTTTAAGATTTTTGTTTTTTTTTCTGACATTAAATGATTTTTCGTCACTAGTGTCATAGGAATTGTCATCATCTCCATATTGCATCGGACATCGGGAACATCACGTCAAAGTGTTTCTTAAACGGCCACTCGGGGAAACATCTCTCTTTTTTTTTCTGGATCGCACTCTCAGAATGGTCACGTCTCTCTACTTCGCAACACACAAAGCACTTAAGAGGATTTCCCTTAACAGCTGGCAGTTGCACCTTTTTGGATATGTTAAGACGCCGTGTCACTGTCAGTGTCCAGCGTGTTAGGCTGGTAGCAGGGGTTACATCTTATGAAAATTTCTTTCACAGAGTTGTAAAAAGCAGATGAGATCAAAGTTACTGGCAGAAGAGTGAGATCAAAAGCAACAGAGCAACAGGCAATGAAGTAAAGAAACACAGGGAGAGAGTGTCGTTAGCCTGTGGTCAGAGTTACAACAGTGCTTTGTCTGCAACTGAGGTGACCCATGCAGAGTGGCATGTGCCCATGTTTTCTACTCTAGGATATGATGACACACCCAAGGAGAACACTTGGGGAGTTCTTAGCACAGTTAGGATACAGTCTTCCAGAAAAAGAAAATGAAAGAAAGAAAAAATAATGAGGAAAGCAGGAGCAGAGGCAAGTGTAAAAGCAAAGTCTGACAGGAAGGATAAGAAGAAGGAGGAGTGTGGATTGGCCTTCCAATGGCATTGTGTCTGCTACTCAACCATGCTACATAATGGATGGGATGGGAGAATGTGAGTGCTGCATTAGACAGGGTGGGCTGCAGGGCAGGGCGGACACTGAGGACACTCCAGAGGCATCCCCGCTCATGCCAGACATGCTGTTAAGGCTCCAAGGCTTTTCATAACCTTCAGTTGAAAAACAGAGAACGTTCTGAGTACAGTGCAGCGCTGAATCCATAACACGATAGTTTGGTGTTCCTCACTGGTACTACTACACCTGTTGCTTTCTTGTTTTTGTCTCCAAACAAACAGGTCAACACAGACTTAAGACACATTATTATTCTCCATGCATTGAGTGCTTTAGGAGTACAACAGCATGCACCGGGTGGTACTGGAATGGTTCGGAGTGAAACACTGTACAAGATTTTAAAAAACGGAGGCACCTGAGGCAGGGAATGGATTCTCAGCTACAGGCGGAATTGAACGCCGGAGGCTTTTCACTGTCCGTGTGCTGTTGGTGGCACACGCGGCTGGACAGTGTTGTGATTTTCACAGGAATGTTGTCGAACTTTGAAATAACCAGCACCCATTTCCAGGAAAGCTAGTGCACTTTGAAAAATTGATACCTGCAACTCGTCCCAAACAACCCAAAGCCATGCGTTGATGTTAAATATTTCTCTACTGTTTGTTAACTGCTAACAGGTCTGTATATTAGGACCTAGTCTGTCCTTATGGACACAACACATACACATCAGGAAATCACTGTTTGGAATCACAGTCTCTGGCTACAGTATATTAAAAGCAGAAACCCTCCCTGAGTCAGAAAGGATCGTCCTATTTAAGGTCATAACAGATGGATCCAGTAAATGATGTCAGATTCTCATGACAAAAGTAAAAAAAACCAAAAAAACAGGATCAGCCAATCAGTAGCTGTGGTATAAAGGATTTCCACATTATCGGATGTGGACACTTGAATGAAATTTAAATTCTAAACTCAACTGACGAGACTGTAGCTTTTCAGCCATTGACTGTGTTCTGGTGACCAGAAATTGAAATTTGGAATATATATAATAATATATAAATGCCTTAACCCTTTATAGGACAAGTTAGCAGTTTTGTAAATTTTTTCATGGTCATGCTCCATCTCAGTGGGTTTTAAAATCATGTGATCTTCACCCAGACAGTCAGATCTGTTTCACCACAGGTAACCAAATATGGTTACTTCACTGACCTTCATTTTCTACAGGAAAAATGTCCTGTTATGTTCTCCAATAACAGTTGTTCAATAAAGTATGTCAATGAGTGCCCTGGAAAGAGTTAAGAAATGTCAAAATGTCAACCCTTATTTTGCTCATATATGCTCATCAAAATGTCAACCCTTATTTTGCTCATGTACGAACTGCTGTACTAAAAAGGTGAATTAAAGAAAGGGGGCGTGTGACCAGGAGGTGAACGAGCCTCTGTCTCAGCTCTTTTGGACTGTGTTGCAGGTATTGACTTCCAATGAAGTTTGAGTTTAACACAAATAATTCACTTGTCTGTACTGATAAAAATATCATTCAGTTATGGGGGAATAAGCGACATCTAATTGTATTGTGAGGTATTTTTCAGTAAGTGCACAAGGTTTTCTGGGAATGAGTTTTGTAAATGAATAGAAAGAGCTTAACTCTGGCACTGACCTGTAATAATCCCAGTAGGAGAATTCGTTTTTTGTCTGTTTAAAATAACACGTGACCAATCACCTGACTGTGTTCGTGTTGTGCTCCTCCACCATACTGATAGCACCCATCAGCAAGACACTTCATGCACCGTTATGGCCAAGAGCGATGTACTCGCAAAGTCAACGTCCCATATAGTATTTATAATTAAAACACATAAATACAAAACATCATATACACACAAGTAGCACATAAATACTCCCTCGGGCCTACAGGACAGAACGTTCTAGATCATGATGAATCTCAAAAATAGCTTTCTTACTGGTAAATAAATAGCGTTTTTTTTACATTGTGCATGGTATCAAAAAATATATTATGTAGATGTGAACAGTTATTAGTGACCTTACTGGTGATTGTGCTTGGCCTTAACAAATGTTACTGTCATGTCAACTATGTACACATCCCCAAATACGTAACGGAGGTGAAGCAGCTGCTGTTCTAATGTGCCTGCTCTATATGATGTGTAGCTGTATCTGTGTGTGTGTGTGTCTGTGTGTGTCTACAGTATGTGAGTGTGTATACTCTTGTGCGACTAAAGTGTTACACACTCCGAAGAGAGGGATACAGGAAGAGTCTCCTGCCTGTGGTCAGTTAGGTGTCAGTGTTTTGATGGGGCCTGTGATTGGCTGTTACTGTACGTACCCCTCCTCACTCTCCCCCCTGTGTGGTTAGGGCGTTCAGCAGTGGTGACCAGGAAGCAGGGTCGTTCTCTCTCGCTGGGGCTGAAGATTTCCTCTGGAGATATTGCCTGGTCTATGTGCGGACAGTCCTCGTTGGCCAGAGCTGCGTTAGCTGCCTCGCCATTCAGCTTGGAGTCTTAAAAATACATAAAAAAACGTATATATTTGAACCTGACATTTTGAAATTTAATATTCCTGAATTTTTGTTAGTAACTGTTTACGTAGTTTCACATTGTAATATTCTAAATATTGAGTAATATTATAGTAAGATAAGATAACGCGGTACGCTTGGGAAAAGCAGCCCTAAACCTTTACAGAAACCCAAATAGCTTTCTTCTCACATGCTGCCAGGAGCTTACCCCCAAAAACCTCTGGGTTTTTTTTTTTTTACTAATTTCTTTTGCTTCAAAAAATATTGTATTAGAGTCTGCCACAGCTGACAGTTTGGATATTTGAAGTTCATCGAACTCTTCTAGGTTTAATTACAGTAAACCTTTGTAGTTTTTAAATGTGAGCTCTTGGTCAGGGAATTGAAACAATCTCTAAGAAAGCATTAACACATAACCTAGAAATGTAATATTCCACTTTAATAAGACAACAGGTTATTCCCGAAAGGGCTTGGCACGTTTAAGAGCTCAACATTAAAACCTCGGGCTTCCACAGATTAAAACAAAACCAACTGAGCCGACGAGGATCGAAGATCAGTTCTGATCAATTCCTCTTCTAAAGACTGTGGAACTGTTTTCAGACGACGTAGTAAAGTTGTAGCCAAAAGGCGACTTCACAGGGAAGACACAAATGTAACCAACGGCTTGTTCGATATATCACACAGCTGTATTAAATTCTAATCTCGTCCTATATTTCTAAACAGACGCTGCATCAGATGTCCATATATCTTTACACCGAGGCTTTCACAAGAAATTGAGAGAAAGACGAAACCAAAGTGTTGGTTTACATCGTCTCATCTTCTCTTAGACATGTTATGTAATAAGCTGAAATTCAATAGTGACCTTACTCATATCTGACTCAGTATGTAGTATTCTACAATCAAAAATATTTCTAACGTCGTGTTGTAGTAACTGTTGTACTGCTCCATAACGCCATGAAAACATGCAACATGTACTACATTTGTTTCTCACCTTGGAACTTAATCTCAAAAACCTCGTCATGGGCGATGGGGCTCTGGTGTTGGGAGCTGATGCTGGACTTACAGAAGTTAGGAGAACCCGGATGAGGAGCCCGAGGGATATGCCTGTTCTTTTTCTTTGGTAGTTTCTGTTTCGCCATGGCCAGAGAGTAATACATTCCAAAGTTGTTGACAATGACAGGGACCGGCATGGCGATGGTGAGCACGCCCGCCAGGGCACACAGGGCTCCGACCAGCATTCCCGAAGTCGTCTGAGGGTACATGTCTCCGTAGCCCAGGGTCGTCATGGTCACCACTGCCCACCAGAATCCAATCGGGATGTTTTTGAAGTGTGTGTGGTCGCTGGCTCGAGGGTCGTTGGGGTTGGCTCCTATCCGTTCGGCGTAGTAGATCATAGTGGCAAATATGAGGACACCCAGAGCGAGGAAGATGATAAGGAGGAGGAACTCGTTGGTACTGGCTCTCAGTGTGTGGCCCAGCACCCGCAGTCCTACAAAGTGACGCGTCAGCTTAAAGATACGCAGGATCCGAACAAAGCGGACCACTCTCAGGAAACCCAGCACGTCCTTAGCTGCCTTGGAGGAGAGGCCACTGAGACCCACTTCCAGGTAGAAGGGCAGGATGGCCACGAAGTCGATGATGTTGAGGGCGTTCCGAATGAAGTCGAACTTATTTGGGCAGAAAGTTATTCGCATGAGAAATTCAAAGGTGAACCACACCACACACACGCCCTCTATGTAGGTGAGGTAGGCGGCAGTCTCAGTCTCCTGGTAGATGTGCTCCACTGTCACATTGTCCACCAGCTCCAACTCGGTGCGGTTGATGATGGGGTTGAAGGCCTCGTGGGTCTCCAGACAGAAGGTGGTGATGGACACCAGGATGAAGAACAGTGAGACCAGAGCTATCCACTGAGCAGAAGACGTTTGTGAATGTGGGAGGCAATAAACAAGGATCAGGGTAGAGGAGAGGACAGAAGAGGAGAGGAGAGAGGAGGTGGGGGAGAGGAGAGAAGGACGGAGAGGATAATGAGCACAGTTCTACATGCAAATAATGAAGCTTGATAGCTCAGCAGCCATTCTCAGCACGACATAAACCAATTTAATCTGTAACAATGCCAAATGCTTTGACAGTGACAATGGCATTGACTCCCCCATCGCCCCCGCCCTCCTATTCTCTGTCTCTCTGTACGTCTTCATTCACATGTGTCATTGTAAAAAGAACAATCAATGCTCTGCTCGTTTCCCATCTCTGCGCTGTATCTCAAGGTCATGGCATTTTCAAGGGCATGCTCCACCCTGAATTACAAGGAGCCAGGAGCAGTAGCAGCAGGGACATAAGTGTCAACCCCCCCCCAACCCCCCCCCATGACTAAATTTAGCTTGGGTTCTTCCCTTCAGCAGCAGCCGCAGCAGCTACGGTGCAGTAGGTGTTTCCAACACAAGGTCATTTTCTGTATAGGATCAACTCCTAAAGGGAATGTTCTGGAACCAAAGAACTCACCAAGATGACGACAGAATCTAACCAGAAACTTATATTTCCCATAAGGACAAAGGAATACTTTAGCCTGCAGCATGTATTGACTACATGATCATATTTCATCACATTTAGATTCTGATATTTCTGGTGCATACTACATGAGTGTAACAGATACACTAGCCTCTCTTGGGGATTTGTTGCATCTCTTTTCTTGTCTTGTTCCCCCACCCTGATCACTGCCCAATTACAGTGTGTGTTTTACTGTAGTTCAAATGGACCTAAAACAGCAGTACCTTCTGTTTGTTGGATGGAAAAGCAGATGAGCGAATATCAACGGTAGCCTACGGTATTTAAAAAAAAAAGAAAAAAGTTTGTTCATGCGTGAAAGTCTGTATGGCTGTGAATGGGCTCTGTAGTGCCTCTCACACTAATGCATAGCATTGTTAAGTGGCTGGGAGGAGTAATGGTATTAGAAAGGAGGTAAGTGAGCTGGGCATGTCTCGACGTGAGGTAGTCTTGTGTGTATATATATATATTTATATATGTATATACACTCAGAACTGTGATGCTGCTGTTTCTCTCTTGTGCTCAGTTGAGAAAGAAAAAGTACACACACACAATTATATATATACATGTGTAAATTTTTTTTTTTCCAACTGAGCACAAGGGAGAAACGGCAGCATCACAGTGTCTGAGTATCTCTCTCTGTCACGTCCATTCACAGTTTGTCAGGGAGGCAGGCGTTCAGAGGAGATGGAAAACAGACCTCACCCCAGCATCTCATCACTGACAATTCATTGCATTGTGCTGAGGAAATCACTGCTTCTTTTCTGTGTCTCTGCCTCCCGTTCATGACAGTGTAATGAATCAGGATGGAAATAGTCTCAGCAGTGACTGCAGCACGCTGTCTCAATCCTATTTTTTTTTCAGCCGAACAGTATTACCACATCACCATCACTAAAGTCACATATTCTTAATTTCATTTGTGCATTTCTCTTTTAACACATCCTGTGCACACACACGATGTCCTCTTGCGCAGTAATGTCAACACTGGTAATTCTTCTGGCCTTTTTATTCAGCGTTCACTTCAGTTTAGTTTCCAAGGTTGCAGTCTTTTCATATGCTTGTTCAAAATGATTTTGCATCTGTAATGTTCAAATATCCATCTGTAATAACTTCTATTTTACTTTTCTATTTTACAACACAAAAGTCCCACTCAATGCACAATCCTACGGCTCTACAATTTAAAACACATCAAATTTAAACCTTAGTTGAAATACCAGCGGCTCTACGGTCAACAGGATAAATGATGGACAACTGCCCTGACCATCTGACCAGCTCTTGACCAATCAGAAAATCATTATGTTTGAGCAGCAAAGTTGCCATGGTCTGAGAGTTTTCTGGGTGAAGATTTAGGACTTTAAAAAAACTTGCTTTTGGAAACATTGGGGAAAAAGGCATGTAGTCAAGAATGACATCTGTGCCAAATTACCACTGGACTAGCACTTAGCGCCCCCTAATGAACCTTCACGGGCCAAGTGTAATTCTCTAATTCTCTGTCAACCAAACTTACAATTATTTTTATATCAACATGTATATTTTGGGTGTGGGGTTTATTGTGGTGCAGCAGCAGCAGGGTCCGGGCTCATAGTCGTCAGAGCATATGTAATTATCTTAAAATATATAAACATACATTCTAATAATTATAAACTAAATGACTTTTGCCTCTGAGCTACCGTGTCGTCTGTGTCAGCCTGGACATTTGGAAGTGAGTAAGGAATTCCGTTAACCTGGGGAACAACAGTCTGTCATCCCAGGATCATCACATTTGTTCACTCTGTGCTTTGCCTTTACACTGTTGAACTAAATATTTAACACGCCGTTAGTAACAGTGTGGCCTGGTAAAGAATATTGGTTCTGTTCTACTAAACCACGTGGCTCCGATGCACTCTCTCAGGGGTTTGTCTGTAATTAACTCTGAGACTCAGGTCTAATTAATCTTCTTGCCAGACTTGGGAGACATCTGTCAATCTCTTATCAGCTTTTAACTTCTGATCGTTAAATCAAGGACACGAGGCAAGGTTTTTTTTTGTTTGTTTTTGCTGCACGAAATCTAAAAAAGAAATGTCGGTTGAATCCGTTCCACTAATGCTGTAACACTGAAGACATGTCAATACAGTTTACACTTGCTGGATGCAGCCAGGCAAGTAATTACACCAATCAGGCTGGAGCTGTCAAAGCAGCATACTGGCTGTTGTGGAGACAAATATTTAAAAGGTGTAAAGTTGTCACCACAGAGAGGTGTTGTTGTCCAGATGGAATTATGCCCAAACGAGGACCAAAATTCTCAAATCCAAACAGCCAGCAAGGTTTAATCGGGAGCTGTGCCACGAGTCCTGCTGGTGCAAAAGATCTAGTTTCCTAATTTGAAGCTGACCCACTTAGCCAAAGGCTAGTCTGACCAGTCTGTCCTAGAAATATCAATCTGAAGAGCTGCCACCGTCCAAATGGCCTTCTCTACCTTCTTCTGGTCGAAACAGATCATGTACCTGTGAGTGATTCTGATGGATGAGCTCTTTGGCTGTTATTCTCTCTCTCTTTCTCTCTCTCTCTCCCTCCCCCCCCATGCTCTCTACATGTGCAGTCACATTGAAGCCCCTCAGAGACTAATTTGAAGGTCATTAAAAGCCTCTCATATCCATCAGTCATGTCATTGTCCCACCACAAAGGGACAGATGACCACAAATGCAGCCTGTATTCATGTCCCTACAGCTGATGGTGTCAAACATATTGAACCTTCGATACCCCCCCCCACAAAAAAAAATTGCTGTCAGAGCAATGTGTCAATAATACATTGAAGTTTGTGGGGAGAAAATAAAAAGCAACAACTAGGAGACAACTATTACCTCCAGGGGGCGTTTTCTTAAAAGCAACTTACCCTTGCATATTTAGAAGAATAGGGGTCTTCAAACAGGGCCCACACATGTTTCTGCCACCGGCTCCACAGGCTCTTCCTGTTGTCAGCGGAGTCTGCCTGCGCCAGCCTCCGTGTCATTTCATCCACATCATCCTCAGCGTGCTCAAGCTCTGGCTCAGCATCATCGTTCCCCAGGTCTAACAGACCTCCCCCGCCGAAACTATCAAGGGCCTCCTCTGCCTCCCGGTGCTGGCGATATGTCATCCAGCAGCATGGCTCCACGTCTGTCTCATCAATGCCCCAGAAGGCCAGTTCTTCCTCATAGAGGGGCCCGCAGACATCTGCCGGGCAGTGCAGCTTACCTGTCCTGTAGTAGTTAAGGATGTGTGAGAAGACGCCAGGGTGGCGGTCAAAGAAGTATTCGTCGATCTTGGCATCATAGTCGAAGTGGTTAGGGGCATCAGGCTCGGCCAACCAGGACAAGCGTGTGCCAGGTACGGTGCGCAGCGTGCTGCGGTATGTCTGATGTTTGATCCCACCCACGTTTATCACAATGCGATCCGTGTCGTCGCTCAGGCCCATCGCGTCCCTTAGGCATTTCTCCTATCAGTTTCCTTCATCTCAAAGCTTTGGACACGCTGTGCAAGCAACATGTACAGCAGTGATGAGTCTCAGGGAAACAGGTAGAAAAAAAAAAAAAAGAAAATGGAAAAGCAGCGCAACGAGCGACCCGTACCTTCTCACCACAGTGTGCCACAGATCAGGGTCTCTTCTACATCCTCTCCCAGCCGTGTGTTTTTCTGCACGCACCTGTCGTGCAACTGGAGGATCACCAATAGTTGGAGCTGCTCGAGCCACTGGAGGAGCTGTGAGAATCGAAATCCAAAATGCTCGCAGCCAATGGCATCACATTGGGGATGGACGTCACATCATCCTTGTGCCCAAGATGTCGAGATAGATAGGGACAAAACGCTGATGATTTCCCCCCAGCAGTGGGTTAAATCCAGCTGTCCAGACTCCCGGGGCTGTGCTCTCTGATCAGAGCTTTGTTGACTTTATCAGCAAGGTGACTGCGGTGGTGCTGAGCGGACAGCGCCTGTCCGACTGATGGAGGCTCGAGTCCCTCCTCTGTTGCTGCCCACAGACTCACCTCCTTCACACCGACGCACAGACTGACTGACAACACGGCAGGTCTTTGTCTCAGCTCACTGGTGATCCTCCTCCTCCTTCTCTTTCTCCTTCTCCTCCTCTTCCTCCTGCTGCTCACACACTTTCCCTTTCTGCCATCAACACCATGCGAGAGAAAAAAACATCCACAGATCCGCAGAGATTTTTTTTGATAACTCACAAATAAGACAGGTTCACACAAAGCCTCTCTCAGAAGAAGGAGAATGGGGGGAACGCCCAAATTGCCTGTTACTCACGGCAGAGCCAGCTCCTCTCTCGCGGCAGATGGAGCATGCTCAGTGTGGAGGGGCATGCATTTGTTGTAGAAAGCGCTGTCAACTTCTCCAATTAGGGCTGTTGAAATGGTCATCGCTCTCGTTTAACGGCGCATTTCGGGAGTTAGGGTCGGTCAGCGGCTGTAACACTCAGGAGTAGGGGGAGGGGCTGGTGGGGGGGGGGCGTATTGTG